ATATATATATATATATATATATATATATGAAACACTACTGCACTCATCAGGACCTAAACTATCTAGTATGGATGGTGATATGCTCTTAGATCCTACTGATTATCGCCAAACAATATTATACAATAACACGTCTAGATATAGCATACTCTGTCAACCAGTTGTGTCTCTACATGCACCAACCGACAACACTTCACTGGCAAGCTATGAAAAGGGTTCTTCGATATGTAAAGGGCACTGTCAACCATGGTTTGTATTACACTCCATCTTCTCTTGAATTACATACTTATTATGACTCATATTGGGCCGACAATCCTGATGATAGAAGATCTACTAGTGGTTACGGGGTGTTCTTGGGCAGAGACTTAGTTTCCTAGAGCTCTAAGAAACAACATGTGGTGTCTCGCTCAAGTACAGAGGTGGAATAATGTTCTATGGCTCTTGCTACAGCTGAAGTCTACTGGATAAGAATGCTCTTTCGGGAATTGGCTATTGGCCTTGCTTTTACACCGATTGTATGGTGTGACAATATTGGTGCCATTGCTCTTGCATCAAACTCAGTGTTTCATGCTCGGACAAAGCACGTGGAGATTGATTATCATTTCATTAGGGAGAAAGTTTGTAATCGTAATATTAAAGTCCAGCACAACGTTTTCAGTTTCTAAAAAACATATTAATGGTTTATTAAAACCCCATTAATTTGTTGGGAGGTGTTATACCATTAGATACTTTGGCAGAAAATCAGGGAACAAGAGTCCATTCTAGTAGTGCCTCAAGAGTCCGATCTATTTCAAGTATCTCCAGCTAGATAGATATCTTATTTTTCCCTACAATTGTTTATTACAATTAAAATGTACATCTATAAATATAATGCAAATATTCAAGGCTAAGCAAGAAAGCCAAGCCATAAGTTCTCTGCATTTATCTGTCCATGTTCAGTAAATAATTCCTTACATAAAGAACACCACAGCTATGGTAGACACCACCAAAATCTCACGAGGCGAAGAGGACAAGTAACGAAAACGGTAGGAGAGAAGGATAAAGCGATGAAAGGGCGATTAGAGAAAAATAATTGATGCGAAAGTAGGAGGTGCTCTTGCGGACGTGGGAGACAATTTCGGATAACGAGTTGGGGACGGGCAAAGGAAGAGCGATTGAGGAATTCATACCAGGGACAGCACTGGAAGAGGTGGGAGATAAAGGAGCGGAATGCGTGGGTGGAGATCAGCACTGCCACCACGTTGGATTGAGAGGTTGAGATCGAAAGCGTTTGAGAGGCCATTTGTAATGTTTTAGAGTGGAAAAAAGATTTTTTGATTTTTAATTTAATTAATTTGGGATTTATTTGTAATTTTTTTTTAAAAGCAGTTGGAGTATGATTGCAATTTGTTTTTTATTTTTCATTTTATTTGTTTTATTTAAATAGGAGAGTACATTTGTCATTTTACAATTTTTAATTGAGAAATTAGATAAAAATTGATGGAAATAAAATCTTTCAGAGTAATTGGCACAAAAAGCTCTTACTTTTCAAGTTTATTGTGAAAAAAGTACCAACCTTTCATTTTTTGGCATTTTCGTCCCTACCTTTTACATTTCTTTGCCCAGAAGGTCATTTTCATTTGTTTTTGACGATTTTACCCTTCATTCAAATAAAACAAAAAGAAAAGAAAAGAAAAAAAATAAAGAACTAATTGCAATAATAGTCCAAAATTTTCAAAAAAATTATAAATCGGTCACAATTTATTGTGAACTAAAATTTTTTAAAATTACCCGAAAAAAATTAAAAAAATAGAAACTTGAATGTACATAGAAATAATCAAGAAATAGAGAAATTTTGAACCATAGCCAATGAAACTGAAAATCTTCAAAAATGGGTAAGCATAAATTTCAATTTTTATTTTGTGAAGAGTAGATGGAATGTTTGAGGCAAAAATCATGTAATCTTCAAATTTTTTCATTTTCATTGGTTATGATTAAAAAATCTTTCAATTTCTTGATTATTTCCCTGTACATTCAAGTTTCCTTATGACTGATTTATAATTTTTAAAAAAATTTGAGATTATGATTACAATTAATTCTTTATTTTTTCTTTTCTTTTCTTTTTGTTTCATTTCAATGGAGAGTAAAATTGCCAAACGGATCTTTTGTGCAAAGAAATGTGGAAGATAAGGCAAAAATGTCAAAAAAATGAAAGGTATAAATGTTTTCGACAATAAACTTAAAAGATAAGGATGTTTTGTGCCAATTACCCAAATCTTCCATAATGAAACGTGAAAATAGGTATAAACTGTAAAAAATAAAAATAAAAATAAAACATAAACATGTTTTGCATATAAAAGACCAAACGCAGGGGTATTTTGTGCTAATAAACCAACATGTAACCATTATAAGTCCTCGTTTGGCTCTCATTTTTTCAAATTAAAATTAATGGAATAGTATTTTTTTGGAGAATGAGTGGTTAAAAAAGAATGAAAACTTTTCGATTTACGTGTAATACTATTTTATGAAAAATTATGTAATTGAAAATAGAAGAGAAAAATTAAATTTAATTTAATGGAGATCAAACGGGAGCTAAGTTTTTTTATTCTAGTCTTTTTAAAAGAAAATAATCAGCTTATTTGATGTTTAATTTTTTTTATTAAAATAATGTGTTGGGATCGAATCTTTTCAAAGAAACTCGGGTCGCGTAACTTAGCCCGTAGGATTAAAATTAGATTTTTAGAAGATTTTGATAGAAATTTTTGAAACGTGTGGTTGAAAAATTATGAGACTCATGAAAGATATAATTAATATTGATTGTTTAACTTTGATTTAGATTAAAAACTGATTTAAATCAAATACTAAACGGCGTTTACTTATTTACAATTTTTTGAAATTTGAATTGAACGACATGATTATTGTCGTTTCATTAACAAACACAAGATTTCCAGCTCTCTATAAATTCTTCAATTCTTTCTTCGCACACGTTCTTGTTTTCCATTCTTTAAAAGGTACTCGCTCTCCTCTCTCCATCTTACATTTTTATTTTAATATTTTTGCGTCCCTTTGAAGCTTTTAGATAAAATTTTCCAATTGTTTGTTTTTTTATATTAAATTCAAAATAAAAGATGCTTTCAGTTCTGTTTCGTTGTTAATTTTGCCCTTTGTCAATGATTTCTTTCCGATTTTTTTTTCCTGATTGGAGTCACCTCAGAACTGTATCAACTACAAAGCTGCAAAGATTTATCTGTTGGTAATAATTAGAAGCTTTTAAGATGAATCGGAAATTGAACGGTAAGTTGTTGTAGACGAAGTGAGCCCTGAGTTCTTTGTTGTATCAATGTTCATTCATCAGTGGATGCTACTAAATTAATAGATTATTGGGGGCTTGGATTGGTAAAAAATTTAAGTGGTTTTATTTTTTTTTTTTTAAATAAAAGCCTATTTTTGCTGTTAATTTGGATTAGGGTTTCGATAAGATATTAGTTAATTACAAAAAATACGTTGTTTTGCATATCTTGTTCGACATGACTCTTGTGGCATCGTGTCAAACTTACATTCCTTGGACATATGGAATCACTTTAATATTCTTTAAGTTTACGCTATCAAATAGTGATGATTTTGTTTATGAAATCACTATATTCTCAGACTCAAATGCCATTTAAAATTTCCAATTAAATGGATGTCTTATTTAGAAAATTAGGTTAGAAAAGAGAGGAGTTTTTTATTATTTACATGTATACCTCTAACAAGTTTGTCCCTTTTATTTTTTACCATGTCTATTTTGAAGATTAATGTATTTTAGACATACGGGGTTGATTTATTGATCAAAGTTTCCCTGCAAAAACTTGTAGTTTTGAGTCTTATAGTTAGGAAGTTTTGATAAGGGAATGACTACTCCTGTTCATGTATTTATAAGTGAATGGAAAACCGGGTTTTCTTGGAGAATTGTCATACACCTCTTGTAGGCATTTTAGATGCTTAATTGAACGCTTGAAATTGATTGAGTAGAGAAGTTAGAACGTCAATGTTTTACTAATGAAATACTGCAAATGTGTGTGATTTACTCCTAGTTCAACTTTATTGAGTCGCTTCCTTTTCTTGTTTTCTTATGCAGTCATATCACGAGGTAATCTTGCTTTGTTCTGCTCTGGTGCTTATAAACTCAAGAATTATGACTACGCAGGTGCTTGTTTTGAGTAATGACCAGTATTTTACTTTTGTTGATATAGTGTTATCATCAAACTTAAGTATTTTCTTTTCATGATACTGTAATTTCTATATCTGATACATTATGGTGATTGCTTTTTTGTACTATGGGCAGGTTACAACAACATTATCTACTTATCTTCTTGCCATGGCCATTGGGGATGACGTGACAGAAAGCTCTGTTTCTTCTTCAAGTCTCAATTCTGAAGCAATTGAGCAGAGTGGATCTGTGTTTTTACCAGAAGATGTCACCTGGGCAGATTCCTGCTTGAGTAAAGATCCCTTAATGCTAGAAAACGGTTGGAACTCTCTTAAAGATGCATTGTTGGAAACTCTTGGATCTGAGCCGGACTCTTCTGCTAGGGCAAAAGACAACGATACCCCTGAAGGAGCCGAGATAGGGACTTTTCCTTATACTTCAAGTGAAGATATAGGAAATACGCATGATTCAGTTATAGCAACCATTAGTACTGCTTCCAGTGATAAGGTATCAGAACTGAACACCGAGAATACTGATAATTTCTGGTCAAGAACTGATGTGAAAAATGTTTTCCTTCCTACATACAATGAGAATTCAAAGGATCTTGGTGGTTCTAATCCTGAGGTGGATTTTGTTTTTAAAGAACCTGAATTGGAGCAATCAACTGAAGACATTTTCAAGGTATGGGATTTAGACATTCCCCCCGAGGAGGATGAACTTATTAAGCAGTTGAATAAAGCCCTTGCAGAAAGTACTTTGGAGCCAGAACCTTCGATTCCTGATGATTCTGAGCAATGGAAATGCTTGAAAGACAAGTCACTTGATGCTCTCATTTCCGGGATTGCCGATCTGTCTTTGAGCCCGAATCAGTTTTAGAATTTTTTTGACCTTTTATCTTGCAACCATACAAAGTAGTGTAGTTATGCTGCTTGATTACTGAGAAATCCTCTCGTTTGGCTTTAATGTTGGATTATGGTGTTTTTCACCACATTGGTTTAGAAAACACAATTCTTCATGTTCCCAACTTCTTGGCTTACGGTTTTAGCATTTACTTTAAATATAAATCTCATTTTCTAGGACTAAATTTTGTTGGGGCGCTAGTACTTCATGTTAGTTCTTGTGTCAGCTGAGATTTTTAAGTGCTTGGCTTGTTCGTGCTTTTAAGTGTTTATTGAGATAGCAAATTTTTTGCCTCTAAAAAAAGTAAAAAAATCTATATTTCAGTTCATGAAAAGGAAAATTATGACTCTCTCCGGTCCCGGATATCTCTCCACTGAACGCTCGATCCTCCTATTCTTCCACTTTTAAGGTGATTCGGTCTCTAAATTCACTGAATCAAGGTTTAATTTGGTGTATATGATTAAAGGGTTATAAAATCAAATTGGACCGACTGGTCTAGCCAGGAAGTGGGCAACATGGTGCTTGATACTAATAACATAATTTAGCTCCCATTAGCGGAGTAGAAGGTTGATACGTGGCATGATGTGCTTGGCTGACCTGGCTATCTTTCTGGTGCTCAAGTCACCAAATCCTGAAAATAAACCACGGCCATTAGAACATGTCAATTTGAATCTTTGTAACAGCTCCAATTTGGGCCCCAAATAGTGATTGTGATGCCCCAAAAATATCAAGAATTTTCAATTTAAGATCCCATTTATTTCTTGGTTTTTACGAGGTGGGAATAACCTAATCTGTATCAACCACTTGTACAGAGCCAAGTGGACAAATTATCAAGTCTACATGGCGACCAAAGATTGGCCAACTCATGCCAGCCTCAAATGAGACATCTTATGTACAAACAATTATAATTTTGGACAATTATAAATAGAATGTTGAGTGTGTGCTTATGCGTAGGAAAGTGTGAAAATCTGAAAGAGGAGATAAGATTGTAGAGCATGGCCTCAGCATCACTTCTTAAGTCATCTCCTGTTCTTGACAAGTCTGAGTTTGTGAAGGGCCATACACTCCGTCAAACGGTCGTCCGCTGCTTCCCTAATGCCGTCCCATCATCGCTCAGCGTTCGTGCTTCCTCTTACGCCGATGAGCTTGTCAAAACCGCAGTATGTATTTATTTTTATTTTTCAGAGCTAGCTCAATCAATCCAATATGACTTTTTATTAGCATGTAGTATGAATAGAGCATCATACATTGATATTTTTTGTTGATGTTGTTTGAAAATGGGCAACGAGAGTACCTAGCTCGGTTTAGTGATCGGGATTGTGGGCTGAGTACCTGCATAAGGGGTATGGAATTCCTGGAGACACTTCAATGTCCAAGTCAAGAATTGACCATAAAATGTAGGGATAATTGAGATGTTGCGAGTGATTTAACTTACTAGCAAGCTAGTGATAGATTTTCATCACTTCAATTCTAAAACCTCGAGTTATGGAGGGGATTAATCATTATATTTTTGGACTACATCACGCCTGGTTTAACATTTATAAAAAAAACTCCAATTCCAACCTCTCTGTCAACAAGTTTCTAACATGTTAGATGACTTGGTTTTGGAACTACAAATTGTGTTACCTTCGAAATTCAATGGGAAATGAAAATGTTGTCTTAATATCATGTGTGTAGAAAACTGTTGCATCACCGGGGCGTGGAATTCTGGCAATGGATGAATCCAATGCTACCTGTGGAAAGCGTTTGGCGTCCATCGGGCTTGAGAATACAGAGGCTAACCGCCAAGCTTATCGTACCCTCCTTGTGACCGCCCCTGGCCTTGGCCAGTACATCTCAGGTGCAATTCTCTTCGAGGAGACTCTCTACCAATCCACAACAGATGGGAAGAAAATGGTCGATGTCCTAGTAGAGCAAAACATTGTCCCCGGTATCAAAGTCGACAAGGTAACTAATATTCTACGTAGAAGTTGCCAATTCATCAAAAAGCTTAAACTGTTAGAGAGAAATAGGGGATATAACTATAGCCTCTTTGGTTAAGCTCAACAACTTAGCCCCTCGACATCCTTTATTTCAAAACATTTTTTTCTACACACAATAAAATATTCTGCATGTAATCTCAAAATTGTTCCCTACTTTTTAATATTCTCCTAAAAATCACTATTCAAAATATTGAAAATCCCAAATAATGACCATCAAACAGGGACTTATATAAGTAAGATTCAATATTCTTAAAAATGTTGATTGGGTTTGTGCAGGGTTTGGTTCCCCTTGCTGGTTCAAATAACGAGTCCTGGTGCCAAGGTCTTGATGGCCTTGCTTCCCGGTCCGCTGCTTACTACGAACAGGGTGCTCGTTTTGCCAAATGGTAAGACTGATGCTCCTTTTGCAATTCAACAGAATCTCTGCAATTTTTTTACCCTCGATCCATTGTGGTAGATATTTACTGATAGCTTCTGAATATCCATCTTTTAGGCGTACCGTTGTGAGCATTCCCAATGGCCCATCTGCCTTGGCCGTGAAGGAAGCTGCCTGGGGACTGGCTCGATATGCTGCCATTTCTCAAGTACTTACATCTGTTTTGAGAACTATCAATTTACTAAATTAAATGTTGGTTACATTAGTATCAGACATTATCAAAAGTTGTATAGTTTTATCTAGTACTGCTTGCTTGCATCCGCTTGGTTTATCAAAAGTTGTCTATTGAAATTTGATGTTTATTTGGTGTCCAGGACAATGGATTAGTTCCAATTGTGGAACCAGAAATCTTGCTTGATGGAGAACATGGGATTGACAGGACCTTTGAGGTTGCTCAAAAGGTATGGGCTGAGGTGTTTTTCTACCTGGCTGAGAATAATGTCCTCTTTGAGGGTATTCTCCTCAAGCCTAGCATGGTTACCCCGGGTGCCGAATGCAAGGACAAGGCTACTCCTGAGCAGGTTGCTGACTATACTCTCAACCTTCTCAAAAGGAGAATCCCCCCATCCGTCCCTGGAATCATGGTAAGTGCTCGTTTGGTAGTATTCTTAAGTGCTTATAAGCTATAGATCCTACAAAATATGTGGTATAGATCCTACAAAATATGTGGATAAAAAATACTGAATATGAGTCGCTAGCATTGCATAGGTCAAAATAACAAAAAATGTTGAATTTTGGGCAGTTTTTGTCTGGTGGGCAATCTGAAGTGGAGGCAACATTGAACTTGAATGCCATGAACCAAGCACCCAACCCATGGCACGTCTCTTTCTCATATGCAAGGGCACTACAAAACACATGCTTGAAGACATGGGGAGGGCGTCCGGAGAATGTGAAGGCGGCTCAGGATACTTTGCTTGTTCGGGCCAAGGCTAACTCTCTTGCTCAACTTGGGAAATACACTGGTGAGGGAGAATCTGATGAAGCAAAGAAAGGAATGTTTGTTAAGGGCTATGTCTACTAAACTTATCGAACTATGAAGAAGTAGATGAAGGAAGATTATTTTTGTTTATACGTGTATTTGCAAACATTTCGATGAAAATCGACTTGACTACTCGACTAGAGAGAGTCGAACAATATATTTATTAAAATATATATTCCATATATTATGCTTGGTTAATTAAGAAAGAGACATTATGATAAAAAAAAATCGAAAACAAATCATCTTGTATTTTGACTTTCAGAAGAACCATTTAAAAAACACTTTCAAACTAGAATTTGACTGCATTGTTAGTGGTAGGAAATTAAGCGACATTGGATTCGTGAAATATATCATAATTTCGAAGGGAAAATTCTCACTAAATGAACTATAAAATTCATCAAATGCCTCAATCATTTTCATATGGGAATATATTTGGTCCAACCACCTTCCCACCATTTGATGGTAGGTTGGATTGGTAGGTTTCATTTTGTTTTGTTTTGTTGCTGGCTAGGATAACTTTGGAAAACTTTTACATAAATTTTGCAAAATTCTTCGAGTTTGACAGGACTTTTACTTTTATTTATATTTCTTATACAAGAATTTCTTGACGAAATTATCTTAATTGATGTTTATAAACTAATTTTGAAAAAACTTTTAAAGAAAGTTACATCGTGTCGATTTCATTTAAAAACTCTTCTAATTAAGAGAGATACTTTTATAAAATTAATCAATTCTAAAACATCTTCTGGATCCGAAGACTTTCTTTTGACTTCTTAGAAATTATGCCAAATGGATTCTAAAAAGTGTGGACAATACTCCTACTCTAGAACGACGTGTTTGTATTTGACACATCTATAAAAATGTTTCGAACATTTCTATACGTGTTTGATAAGTTATGCTTATTGTCCTACTTTTTATACAATTGTTAATTCTAACAGTCGAGATACGTTAGAACGCTCCTCGAATTGATGTTTTAAACTTTCTAAGCTTGAGTTCAATAATTGATACCTCCATTCCTCGTTCTCTCTTAATAAAGAACATAAAATATCATAACTTTGACACTTAACTCTTTTTGGGTGCAGACGTGCACAACATTATCATAGTTTTCATTTTTTTCTGTCATGGAAATTGGGATCCACTGAATCATGAGTGGGTCTGACCTTTTACTTTGATTCCTTCAACACCTTGCCAAGAAGAAGCCTTGCAATGATTATTAATCAATATTTTTTATTTTTATTTTTATTTTTTAAAAATATATTTATTTATTTTTTACCCCACTCCTTACTTTTCCTTCTCTCTTTTTTACGTGATGGGAAAAAAACTCAATGATTGTCAATGTGACTAATCTATATGATTCTTTGAAAAATTTTAAAGTACGACTTACATTCCATTTTTAATTACACTTTGGATGAAATTCCTTCTCTAAAACCACTCATGCGGTCATGCTACAATAGAATAAAATAATTTTAAATAACCATACATTTTTCTTTACCCTTCTTTTTAACCATACATTCTCCATCAAAATAATATTACACGTAAATCAATTTTTATTTTTCATCAACACCCTTTGAATCTAAATTTATTTTAAATTTTAGTCTATATTACTAAAATCTAAAACATAAAAACTACACCACAATCTAATGGTCTTAAGTTTTTAAATAATTATATCTCCTAATTAAGTAATGGTTGTAGATTTTGAAAATAAATTCTTGTACATTAAGGGGTGGACGGTGGAGCTAGGATAAAAGAGTAATAGGAGGGTAAATTTTACAAAATTTTAATTTTGGAGGCAAAATTGAAAACTATGAGGAATTTTTTGACAATTTTAAACAAAAACCTTGAAAAATCTTAATTTAAGGTCTTGAAATTGAAATTTAGATCTCGTTTGTTTCCCATTTTTGGAAGAATGAGAATGAAAAATATAGCCGTTATGAGTCCCACACACAAGAGATAAAAATTCAAATTTGGTGATTTGATGTGATGAATAACAATCATATTTTTCATTTTAATTAAAAAAAATAGGAAACCAATCAGGGCTTAGTGTGAGGTCAGCACTAAATCTGCCCATGAGTATATCACATCATAATTTCAATCATGTTACCGTGACATAATGTTACATTGCATTTCACTATTGGACTGTTTTAAACAAAATCAACTTTTTCATCTATTCACATTTGCCAATATACATTATGTCACTTCATCCGTCAATCACTTTCTGACAAAGTGAAATAACCCTAATTGAGGTTCCAAGTAGCTTATATTTTTCAAATTTTACACTTGATAATGTAAGGCATGTTACATTAGAAATTATTTTTCAATGTCTATATAGGACTAGAATGTTAGTTTGGTACTGACTAATGAGACTAATATTGAAAGCAATTTGAACTTTAATGATTTTGTTGTGATAAATTAAAGTTGGACGATCCATTTGAATGTTTACTGAAAGTTCAGTGACCAAAAATGTACTTTTCAAAATAAAGCAAGGTCAAAATCGTCATTTCCTGTTTATTCCGGTGGCAACAGATTTAACGGTTGACACCGCTTCAAAATTTCTCCGAAAGCTTCGTAGTTCCCACGTTCAAATATGTGTACTTATATGAAAGAGGAAGAAAGATTGATAGATAGAAAGTGAGAGGAGGCGGTTACTTTTGGAAGTTGAGAGCATTATTCTTCTCTTTATCAACTTCCATTGGTATGGTAGATCGTTACTGTTTTGATTTGAAATTTTTTTGAGATCGTGGAGGGAAGGGGTAGAAAGAGAGAATTTTACTATTTCTTTTGGCAATTTTTTATGTATTCCAGCCATATTTGTTTTACTTTACTTTGATTTTATTTACTTTATTCAACCCGCAAAGCAATTTACAAATTTTCAAGTTCACACTTCACAATTCAGTTTCAAAAATGTTGATTTTTTAGCATGCTTTTTCAAAGGAAAACGAGCTCAGCTTCACATGAACTTACTAACTAACGTACACCTGTAATCCATAAATACTTTCTGTGTTTTGTGCACTTGTCGCTCATTATTATTATTATTATTTTATTTTTATTTTTATTTTTATTTTTTGCCGTTGAATCGCAGTGATGTTATGCCGCAATCAAATCTAGCAGTTTCACGATAATTTTGATTCACTGATCAATGTTTTGAGCAGTTTCACGACGGTTACGTATTAGATTTCATTTTATTTTTACTCCACGGATGAGAAATTGAAGGAAGCTTCAGTACTGACCCTTCGACAAGAACCTTAGTCTGAAATATCAATTCACCAACGTTCAACGAAAACGATACCGGAAGGTGAACTCTTGTGAATATTTCAATTTCCACAGGCCTATTTGGAAAATTATTTTAAAGAGCATATTACTTGGACTTGAAGGATTATTGGGGTCACCATTAGGCAAGCTGTCTGTTACGAATTTCTGGCTCCATCGAAAGAGAATTTTAGGTTTCTGTTGAAAGAAAAGGCTTAAGGTCAAAGCTTAATCAAAGTGGTTAATCACAGCTAACCCCTTTGAATTATTATGCTTTTAGCTTAATCAATATTATAGCAGTCGTTAATATTTATATAATTAGCATTTTCTGTTCCATTGCAGATTATTAATGCTGTTATGACTTGTTGCGGGAGGTAGATTTTCTATTGCAAACTCAACAACCCTGTCTTTCAACAGCATAACTTTCTTGTCCTTTTTCTGCTAGAAATGGACCATTGAGAAGTTCTGTATTAGTTACACTTCTGTTTAGTGTTTTCGTGGACCTTTAATTTTAGTCATTTTACGTTTGTTGTGATTGGAGTTGTTTTTGAGGGCTAATAGGAGTAGGTATTGAGAAATGGGGGCTTTTGGTGGAGAAGAATTGATGAATTGGGAGAAGATGCAAGTTGGGGGCAATGGAAAGGAAGAAAATATTCTGGTGTTGGTGCGTTTGAGGCCTTTGGGTGAGAAGGAAATTGCACAGGATGAAGTTACGGATTGGGAATGCATTAATTCAACCACTATTTTGTACCGGAACAGCCTCCAGGAGAGGTCTGGACTTCCCACGTCTTACTCGTTTGGTAAGGAAACGCCTTTTTTTCTTTCAAATCAATATTTTATTATGTTTTAGCTCGGGAAGGAGAAAATGTTATCCGAGTGAGAATATATATATTTGCTTCTTTTAAAAAGAATTCTACTGTGCAAGCATCCCATTGTTCCACCCTTCTGTCTATAGTGCACATTGTTGGTTTCTTTTGACAGATCTTCTCAATAATGATTATAGTAGGTTAATTTGACTATAGTTGATTAATTGAGTCAGGATTTAGAAGTGATTTTTGGACAGTAATGATAATTTAAACCCAAGTTAATTTATGTGACTTTATAGTCAAGTAATTTGTATGAAACCTTTCTTTGTACTAGACACACAAAAAGGTGGTTGTTGAGACGTGTTTGTAATCTTCATAGATATATTTAGCGTCGCGATTTTTGAGAATTATAATCACTATTAATCTTGCTTCCTTTCCCTTGTTGCTGTCTTTTTAATGCGTTATGAGGGCAGATCGAGTATTTAGGGGTGACTGCAGCACGAGGGAAGTTTATGAGGAAGGAGCAAAGGACATTGCCCTGTCAGTTGTTGGTGGCATCAACTGTAAGCATGATATGATAATTATACCTTTGCTTTTTGTTTATTGACCTAATTCTTTATTTTTTATTCTATAATTAGTTGGCCTTGGTTATCAGATGACAGGCTATGTGTTCTAACTCACATAAAAATTTCAATTTCAGCTACTATTTTCGCATATGGCCAAACAAGCAGTGGAAAGACATATACTATGAATGGGATTACTGAGTATGCTGTGGCTGACATTTATGATTACATACAAAGGGTACTTAAATAGTAAATATGGTTTTAATATCAGTTCCTTTACATGGATAGCAATATAAAACATTTTTATTCCCTTTTGGACTTTATAGGGTTACGTTTCTATAATTATTTCTGAAAAATTAATTGTTCCTTTTTCATTTTCTAGCATGAGGAACGAGCATTTGTGTTGAAGTTTTCTGCTATGGAAATTTACAATGAAGTTGTTAAAGACCTCCTCAGCGGTGACAATAATCCACTCAGACTGCTTGATGAACCTGAGGTGAGTTTATATGTGCTTGCTTTCTCGTATAAGCACCCACATTTCTTTTTTACCTATTGATCCATTTCTCCAGCGAGGAACTATTATAGAGAAACTGACAGAAGAAACCCTGAGGGATTGGAGTCATCTCAAGGAACTTTTATCCATCTGCGAAGGTAGGGCGAGTTTTATGGCTATCAATTCTTCATTGACACATCTTGACCATATAATCATTGTAGAATAATTGTGTTTCGGGTTTATTCTCATAGCACAAAGACAAATTGGGGAAACGTCCTTGAATGAAACAAGCTCCAGATCTCATCAAATTCTTAGATTGGTGCATGCCTTATCCTCTTTCTTTCTTTCTGGTTCTTTAATTTTTTGCTTAAATTTCTGGCAGGCCCTGGAAGTCCTATAACTAGCTAATTTATACTTGGTTGTTCTCAGACGATTGAAAGTTCAGCTCGCGAGTTCTTAGGGAAAGACAACTCAGCCACCCTTTCTGCTAGTGTGGTATTGGCAATCATTTTGTCTTGTGGATTTGATGATGAATATATGCAACTGGTTCGATGCTTTGAATTTGTAAACGGAAGAATTTTAAATTGAAAATTTAAATAGTTTTTGCCTGCAGAATTTTGTTGATCTGGCCGGAAGTGAGCGCGCATCTCAATCATTATCAGTAGGGCAGAGGCTGAAAGAAGGCTGCCACATCAATCGTAGTTTACTAACTTTAGGAACTGTGATTCGCAAGCTAAGGTCGACTAATCTTGTCTCTCCTCTCTTCTTTTGCTTTGGCTTCTTGCTTGAACTGACTTTATCTCAAATATAACAAGTGTTCCTCCCTCACCACGTCTGTTGATTCTTTATGTTTCATTTGGAGGTAGTTCCTTTCTTCTTGGTCCACAGAGGATGAATATAGAGTTCATCCATTTTCTTTTACTTCCCCCACACGCCCACAAGAATTCTATATTAGAGGGACATTCTTTTCCCATTTAAGGTGGATTTTATTGGGGAGATATCAGACAAGCACACACACACACACACACATATAATTTTTTTTTTTTTTTAATTTTTAATTTTTTCCCTCTCGGTAAAGATGAGGATATCAACTCTTTCTTTCCCTACCTCCCAACTCACACGTTTCCACTCTTTGTGTATGATAGTGTAGTCCTAAGCCATCTATAACTCTTAATTTTAGCCATATGCTGAATGCAGCAAAGGAAGACATGGACATGTCAATTACAGGGATTCTAAGCTAACACGGATTTTGCAACCTGCCTTGGGAGGCAATGGGCGAACTACCATAATTTGCACTTTGAGCCCTGCAAGATGCCATGTTGAACAATCAAGAAATACCCTTTTATTTGCTAGCTGTGCAAAGGAAGTAACTACAAATGCACAGGTCAACGTAGTAATGTCTGATAAGGCCTTGGTGAAACATCTGCAGAAAGAGGTAGCCAGGTTGGAGAGTGAGTTGCGAACTCCTGGACTGACCTGTGATCATGCAGCACTGCTTAGAAAGAAGGATCTGCAGATTGAAAAGGTTAATGATTTCTGTCTAGTTTAATTCATGTTGTAATTTCTTTTTTGTTGTTCAAATGGTTGGGATTCTGTTTTAATTTCACTTAAACAAAATGCTTTTCTTCACACTTGCTTATGACAATCTCTATTTTCTATAAACCAGCAGTCAAAAGCATATTACACGAAGAATGATATTTCTAGAAGTGCGTGACACAGCTATAGTTTGCCTCTTGATAATGTATACTAGAAAATATCTTCTCTAATTTGGATAAAATAAATAGCAATTTTTCCATGTGCAAAGCCAGTCCTATAAATAAATATTTCCTATCGTGAAAGCATTAGCAACGCAAAGCTCTCAAATTACTTGGAGCACGCTAACGTGATTGCTTGGCGTACTGTATGCAGTTGGAGAAAGAGATTAAGGAGCTGACTAGGCAGCGAGATCTCGCTAGATCTCGTGTTCAGGAATTGTTGCAAGAGGTTGGAAATTATTATGAGTTCAAAGAAATTAATATATGTTCCCCCTTCACTTCCCTCTTTCTTCCTGCACACTCGTACAGGAAGAAACCTCTGGGATTGCACAATATGATTACTAATTATATGTCATTTAATTTTCTAGGATGCCCTTGGATGTCCTCCTAAATTGCAAGGAGAGAACACATGCGAAGATGTATATCCAGCTACAAGGTCATTGCGTTTAACCAATCATCATGATAGAAAGGTAAGTTCTAGGAAGCTTAATAAAATTCAGTCTCATAATAAGGACATCAAAAGTGATGCAAGGTCGGACCAACTGCGGTCAGAAGACAGTGAGGATCATTCTTCATCTTATGCTATGACTGATCTCAGTCAAGGAGAACTCAGTCAAGGAAGAGATAATCTCCCAGTTGGAGCCAATGAAAATTCTGGTGAAGTTTGTAAAGAAGTTCGATGTATTGAGATGGACAAAGATTTGTCAAACAGTGAGAATGATGGAAGTAAGTCAGCACTGATGGAGTTTGGTAGTAGATGTGCTGCCAATCCGGTGCTATCACTAGATCCTGACGTTGAGAATGGTTACATTCATGGGAAGTTGGAGCATAAAATGCAAGATGAGCAAAATACCATGGTGTCTCTAGCCAGCACTTGTGAGGATCGATTGTCCCCATCAATCAATATATTGGATTCTGGAAACCTGAAATTGACAAGTAACGGGAGTTATAAACCTAATTTAGTGACTGGCTCTCCTGACTTTGAGATGGCAGAAGAAATTGAAACAACCCCACCACCCATCGGGATGGGAAAAAGCTTCCCGGGAAGACCAGAAGGCTTCCAAAGGAAGAACTGGATGCTTCCCCCATCGATATATGGTGCAAATGGTATGAGATTGTCCAGAAGCAATTCACAGTCTTCCTATGGTAGCAGTTTTCCCGATGAAGTAAAAGCCGAGGACAACTTCCATGGAGATGAAGATATTCCTACCCTTGGTTCCTTTGCAGCAGGACTCAGGGAGATGGTTAGGCTTCAGAATGTAAACAAGCTCGATGATCAGGTGACAGTTGCCAGAATCTTAAATGCTCTGTTCTTGTAACGTTTCAATTTCCCTCTTTCCATCCTTTTTCTTCCCATTAATATTTTTCTCCACATATTTAAATAGCTGCATCCTGGGAAAAAGATACTGTAATATATTTGGCTTCTTGATTAATATGCTTCTACTGTATTCATATATCTAGGTTCAACAGCCCGAAATAAGAGCTCAAAGTAGTGTCGAAGATGAATTGGATGCAAGGCATGATTCTTCAGGAGCTCCTTCAAATTGGCTTCTGAAGTTTGAGAGGCTGCGGGGATCGATAATTGAATTATGGCAGGCTTGCAATGTTTCATTGGTTCATAGGACATACTTCTTCCTCCTCTTTAAAGGCGACTTGGCAGATTCCATTTACATGGAGGTAGAACACAGGAGATTATTATTCCTCAAGGAGACATTTTCTGAGGGAAATCTAACTGTACAAGATGGCCACGCACTCACATTGGCATCAAGGTATCTTCTATTTCTCTTTGATTCCCATTAAAAGAAAAAACTGTAGCCATGTATCATATTTTACTAGGTTTGTCCCTTCCGCTGCCGGAATTGATAGATAGCCTGTGTTACTTGTATATCAAGGAGCCGTATCGCTGAAGATGTAAGACCATTTTGAATATCCGTCTCTCCCATGAAAATTATATAAACATTATACATTGAAGATGTGACTCTTTCAATTTTGTATTCCTGTAATAATTCAGCCTCAGATTAGTTATTTCCGACTGATGATTCAGCATATTGTTTTCTTGGAGTGACAGCATGAAAACTCTTCGGCGTGAGAGGGAGATGCTAAGCAAGCTCATCTATAAGAGATATACCGAAGATGAAAGGAACAAAATTTACGAGAGATGGGGTATAAAATTGAACTCAAAACGGAGGAGGTTGCAGCTGGTCCATCATCTTTGGATTGACACTAAAGATATGAATCACGTCTCAGATAGTGCAGCCATTGTTGCAAAGCTGATTGGGTTCTCAGAGCAAGGGGAAGCCCTCAAGGAGATGTTTGGTCTCAGCTTCACTCCTCCACGCATGAGTCGGAGATCCATTAGCTGGAAAAACAGTATGACATCCCTTCTGTGAGCTTGCAGCTAGTTGACAAAATTATTAGTGCAAGTTTTTGTGAAATATTATATTGTATTGGAGAGTATAATATACAATAAAAAAACTTTTCTTTTAATACACCTTGGGTTGGATTAGGTATAAGATAAATCGAATAGTTTTAGATGGTTAAATCAAATATATCTTGTCCATGAACTGTTGTGTTTGTACGAGTTTGTTACAGCATGATCTGGAATCAGGCTAGGATAGAACTCCAGTTCTGCTCTAGGAAATTTTCATCCTTTTGCCTGAAGTTTGATTTAATATGAAATATGATTCTATCCTTAATTCTACTTCTTCTCAATTATAATTTGCTATAATGATTGCAACAATTGAATTAGTTGGTGAAATATAAGAGTGGGATATCTGTACTGAAATTTTTGAGTGATGCAGAGTCTTAATTGTTCTTGTTAGATTCATGTTCAATTCAAATATTGAACAATATAACGAGTATTGACGTTTATTGTTAGGGCTTATTGTGATATATTTTAGACTGGGAAAACTCTGCTAAGTTTTTGTAAATCCCTTATAATGAGCCTTGATAGTTGGTGTGACTTCCAGTTGACCTATTTCGACACATATCTCGTTTCAATTTCAAATAGATGATATGAATCAAATTTATCCTTCTTTTCTAAAATTGAAGTACTAAACTTAGACAAAATTGTTGAAATGATTGAATTGAAGCATGTGTTTTTAAGGGGAAAAAATGATCTTTAACAAGTAAAGAGAATATTTGTCTTAGAAAAATCGACTCGTCGTAGTTAAACAGCTTTCAAGTTTAACTAAACTGACGTATAAACATTTCAAAAAGTAATATTTTAAAAAGCAGCTCAAGCACCGGTCTACAAGTATACTTCCAAGATTCAAAGGGTTAAATTAGTGGAATCGATAATGCAAAAATCATATTATTCCGCTTAAGAGAATCGATGAATTCTTGACTTTTTATCTATTTTAAATTTTTTCACATAACCAAATCCATTTCTGACATGTTGGGATGATAATCGGTTAAATCATTCGCCTTAATAATTATTTATATTTGTATAATTTATTTATGGATATACCAATTGGGAGTATCAACTTTTTTTATTTTTATTTATTTTTCCCACCCAAGTAAAGCCAATTTTCACTGGACTATTGAAATAATACGATTATCTTTTTAAAAGTTTGTGGTGTGGATATTGGGCACGAGCTGATTGTGGCTCCAAATCACACACATTTCCTTGGCACAGACGGGTGGAACAAGAAACATCAGGCAGGCATTAACTCTCACCGTCGTCAGAGAGTAACATCAAAAATTCCCTCCAAAAAATGGAGCTCACTGCCTTTGCTTGGACAAATTCTATTTCTCCAACTTTCCACTTCCCTCAAAACTTCACATCAGTGCGCTTTTCTATTCCTTGCTACTTATTTTTATGTGCTAATACTCAATTTTGACTTGCAAAGTAGTGTATTTTTATGATGTTGATGTTGATGTTGAAATACAGACGAGACGGTGTAGGGGCGTCAGAATTTGGTGTGTCAATGGGAATATTGATATTGTGGATTCTAAGAAGGTAAATTCTAATCCGAGATGTCGAACTTTTTGTTTATAGACCGATTGAATTGAAGCGTATTTAGGGCTTGACTGAATCTATGTCACGAACGTTTCATGAAATTCTGTGAAAGTGAAACAGTGTTTGGCTAAGATTTACTTAAAAGTAATATAAATTAAGTTAAAAGGTAACTTATTTTTAGTTAAGAGTAAGTTATCTTAGAGCTAAAAATTATTTAAAAAGTAACTTTACTTTTGATGACAATCCTACTAGGAAAATCATTAACTTGTATCAAAGTAGTTGGCGATTTAAGAACATGTGATGTTGAATGTTATGAAGGATGCATGATTAAAAAAGTAGAGGGAGTAATGAGCCCATGAGCAAACTTGTTATTGGGAGAATGTGCAACTGAAAATGAATTTGGGAAAAAAATGAGTTTTAGAGAATGGTGACCAAATATGGGCTTAAATTTGTTCAATTGCTGTTATTATATGGTGGGCCAAATGTGAACAGTTTTTGTGATTTGGGAAAAATTCATAAGTACTAGACGAAATGGAATTTGCTAAATTTAATGTAGTTAATTCTTACCTCACAAAGTGTTCATAACTTATCAAGGAACGTTGGGAAAATTGAGTTCTGCTGCCTGTACAGGCCACACACAACACCGGGGGGGGGGGGGGTTAAAAAAAAACCCCCCCCCCCCACCTAGCATGTGAGGGGCCTGTACAGGCCCTGTGAATTAGGTCAAGATCTAATATGATTTCTAGCAACAATGCAATGGAATATATGATTTTCCCTTTATTGTGCACACCTAATAGGAGAAAATCAAATATTGCAATAACCAAAATAAATAATGCAGGAATTAGATGATACAATATTTAATATGGTTCAAAAATATGCCTACATCCACAGCCCGACTCCGAATTAACTTTCATTATAATCAACAATAGTGGATACAACATTTTCTTCCTTAGATACCATATGAGGCTATCTAAAACTACATCAAGGACACACATTTTGGCAGTTGTCATCCAACAAAGATGGAAACCCACAATATTCTCACTCGTCAATTTTAACACACTCAAGAAAAACTATTCGTGGAATATTACTAAAAAATAACACAAAAACGTGTTTGATCACTTCTATGAATTGAATACTGTACAGTTTAGTGATTTTTAAAGGTTATGAGTTGGATTCCGTAGCTTAATACGTGGCATAGTCTTATACTACTTTGATTCAGTCTAGATTTCAGTTTCTGTTTTCAATTATCACAGGCAGATGAGATGACTGTTTCAATAACTGGAGCTACGGGGTTTATAGGCAAAAGATTGGTACAAAAATTGCATGCAGGTATTCACTCTCATTCCATGTTGTCCAGAACTGTACAAGATTATATGCAAACAGGAAAAACAGCTTGCTAAATTTTCACCTCACCTATATGCTAAACACATATAAGCTGCGCAATTTTATATTGCTGGGCCAACTCTTACCCTTTATATGTTGCATGGATATATATATGAACTTCTCTCTATCGTCTCTGAAATGTAGATAATCATCGTGTTCGTGTCTTGACACGGTCTAGGTCAAAAGCTCAGACAATTTTTCCGGGTAAGAAGGTAATATTTCATAGTTCCATTTAATTTTTGTTTCTTGTTACTATGGAAGAATTCTGAAAGGTTTCATGAATTTGTAACCGGTTTCAAGACTACTTTTTTTTGTTATGATGAGAATATATCTTTAAGTGCATTGTCTTCCAATCAATTTAGTTACCTTCTGATTAGTTCAGGGAGAAAAGAAGATAATTGCTTATATTTTCTCACCCTTTGTTTGGTTTCCAATGAGAAAAACAATGAATATAAAGCAGGAATTTTCCCTTTGGGTCGGTGAATTTATAAATTGAGTGTTGTATATCATTTAAACTTATGATTTTCCAAATAATAAATAAAAATCGTAAATTTGTTCTTTTCTTCTTTCGCATCACTCTATTATAGTGCAAGTTCACCTTCTCTTCCTGTTCTTTGAAATTTTTCTTTATATGCACAGCCAAGGACTTCCCAGGAATTGTAATAGCAGAGGAATCAGAGTGGAGAGACTGCATTCGAGGTTCTGCAGCTGTTGTAAATTTGGCTGGACTGCCAATAAGCACGAGATGGTCTGCCGAGGTATGTTATAAAGTTTGTTTAGCTGCCTTGGTTATTCTTACAATATGGCCTTGTTAATACATATTTCATTTCAAGTTCAATGTGGGTGAAATTGCTGTCTTTCTTGTGATAAATTTTTTTATGACCTGCTCTCGACATCTTTTGTCATCAACTCACTCATACAGCATCGTAACATGCATTGGTCCTTATGGTGATAGTTTTATTGTCTAAACTCAGGATGTTTTGAACGCATGGTCTTTCTACAAGCAGTGTCTGTTCATAGACTCATTCATTCTATAAAATGAAGTTTATCATATGAATGTATTTCATATATCTGTTAGGATTGGAATCACCAGTTAAGATATTTGTCATGATTGTTGTTAGCAGAGAATTTTCGGTGACCAGTGTTGAAAAGTGTTGCTTGGTTTGACTGCTTTTTTAATATTTTTATAGTTCATAACTTAGTAGATGACCACATGTAGCCTATACCTCAGAGTTTGAATATATTATTGATCTTTAATGCATTATTGCAGATCAAGAAAGAGATCAAAGAAAGCAGGATTAGAGTTACTTCAAAGGTTTCCTTTGCAAATCCTTAGCTAAAGCTCTTCTCTGTTATGAGTTCCTTTTTTCTTGGAAGGATGATAACTGATAAAGTTGCTAATTGTTCACCTCAAAATTTCATTGTATCCACAGGTCGTAAATCTAATAAATAATGCACAAGTTGAACTTCGTCCTAGGGTTTTGATTAGTGCAACAGCTGTTGGCTACTATGGTATGCATCTCAAACTACATTTTTCATGTTATCACATATCATAGTACTCAGTCCTATATGTTGTTGGCATTATTCTTTTACTACTGCATGACTCTTATGATGAGTTGTTTGCTATTATACTACTATCATTGGGAGCACAGGAATTGTTAATCCACCGTATAAGACTCTTATTCTCGTTTAGCTATGTTGTCCAATTGCATACTTACTTACTGGTGACATTAAAAGGGTCATTGGAATGATAAATCAAAATTGAATTTATGCACCTTCAGTTGTTTCGTGACAATTTGTTCCATTTCCTATTCCATTTTCCCATTGCTCAGGCTCTAGTGAAACACAAGTGTTTGACGAGCATAGTCCATCAGGAAGAGATTACCTAGCAGAGGTAATTGAGAAAAACTGTTAGTTCTTTTGCAAGTGGAATGATTTTCTCATATGAGCGATAGCTTTAGGAATCTGCAAAGAGCTGATTTCAGTTTGTTCATGTTATATATGGTATCCTTTGCTGATACTCTAGCATCGTTAAAATGTAATGGCCCCTCAGGTTTGTAGAGAATGGGAGGCAACTGCGCTAAAAGTCAATGGAAATATTAGAGTAGCACTTATTCGTATTGGTGTTGTGCTTGGAAAAGATGGTGGAGCTTTGGGTATGACTTAATTTAAATGCTGCATACTTCCATATTCAATCTTCTTACTGTAATCAATTAGGAAATTTTGGAATTTATTGGTTAAATTTGAGACATTCATTTAACTAAATCTAACAAAACCTCGGGGGAATATCATCTATAACCTTGAAACAAGTTCAAATCTAATAAGTTTTTAAGCAATGCTTTGTTGAGCTGAAATGAATTGAAGATCCCTGAAACCGTTACATCATCTTGTTACTGAAAGCAGGTATTTTTTATAATATTCTAACATTTACTAAAATTATGGTCTCTATGTTGTAACCTATCAACTCTTTTATGGTTGGTGCAGCTAAAATGATCCCTCTCTTCAATGTGTTCGCTGGTGGACCTTTGGGCTCTGGAAAGCAATGGTATTGTACCTCAACCCTCTTTTAAGTCAACTTCTTAAAATGCTTGCGTATTGATTTTTGAACCAAATCAATCATTTTCCTTTTTGTCCATTACATCGTAAAGTTTACGTTAGCTTTATTGAACAGGTTTTCCTGGATCCATGTGGATGATCTAGTGAATCTGATCTATGAAGCTCTATCCAACCCCTCTTACAAAGGTAAAATATTTGTAAATTCGCATGTATATATTATCTGGTGATATTTGTATGGTAGACGTTTGTACATTTCCGTTCCGGAATAACACATTCTCTCTTTCCCCCTAGTATGCTAACATGTAATTCTGAATAATTCCGTTGGATGCCGTCTGTCATCACATTTATTATTAATTTGTTAATGTTTGGCTTCGACTGAATATAAGCAATCTAAATGACAGGTGTAATCAATGGAACCGCTCCAAACCCTGTTCGGCTATCAGAGATGTGTGATCACTTGGGATCAGTCTTGGGACGGCCCTCATGGCTTCCTGTACCAGATATTGCACTCAAAGCTGTTCTTGGAGAAGGTGCTTGTGTGGTAAGATCTTTGCACTCTTCTTTAGACTGTTGGCATCCATTGCTTTTGCCTGTTTGTTAAGACCACACCAAGTAGTAAGTAGAGTGCACCTTCAAAACCGGCACGTAAGGGGAGGATGTCCAAGTGTTTATAAGCCCACCAATCAAGTCTTAACCTAGTGATGAGGGACGGAATTAAGATCATTACAATCCTCTCCTCCCCGAAGAGCCGACGTCCTTTACATTCTATATTTCAAGCTAGGTGACTTCACACAATCTTCTAATGGAAGTATTCCTCTTGAGTTTGCCTCTTCCACTATGCGGTTCATCTCTTGAGCTGTACCTTCTTTGATTCCCGTTATTACAACTATATTGTGTAGAACTCATCGTTTAAACCAGTTTGTATGAAAAATGAGCCCAAAGCCACAAAGAAAGTTGTAGCTTAGCAATGTGAGGGGCAGTTAGAGTCATTTCACTGTACCTCTACCTCTAGTGATCCTACTACGTAATTATGGCTCGTTGCAGGTTCTTGAAGGACAAAAAGTGCTGCCGACTAGAGCCAAGGAACTGGGATTCCCGTTCAAATACCCCTATGTGAAAGATGCACTGAAGGCGATCATATCGTGAGAATGTAAGAAGTGGAAATTCTGATTCTTCATTTCATATTAGAGCCGTCAGCTTGAGAGAGTCGAAGTGGGGACGATCTTTTGCACCTACTGATAATTGAACTCCGTTGAGGGAGTTCAATTAGATGACTATTGTTAAGAGCCGTTGGTTGTAAGATCCAAGATGTACATCATTCTTCTACATTCTCTCTTTCGAATTTGTCGTAATCATAATGATAAACACAGGAAATGTTATTATTCATTCGTATCTTTGAGGATATAACTGCTGTTCTTATACAATGCTGGAGAGAGTTTTGGAATTGGAAGTGAATATTGTTCTCTCTATAAAACTTTCAATATGAGAAAGTGTGGTAAAATTATAAGTTCTCTCTAGAATACTGTCAATATCAGAAAGTGGTGGTAAAATTATAACTCCGAGGAAAAGTACACTAAAAAATGTATGGTTGAAAAGCTGTTGATCCTATTAATTAGATGTTTGAGCCCCATTTTATTGTAAAAATGTATTTTCAAATAATAGATTGATAGAGAATGTGATTAAAAAATAAAAAAAACCTTTGCGTTTGTTGTAATATTTTTTTATTGAAGAACGTATAGTTGAAAAGAAGTAAGAAAATGCATTTTGAAACTAATGGAGATCAAACAATTGCTGAATATATAGTTAAAGTAAATTGTTAATTTTGACGTAAATTTTAATCCAATTTTTTAGCTGAACCAAATAGGCGCATCATGGGTGACCTGACCTTATTTTCCTAAACAATTTCTCCTTCAAAGCTTACATTCGGGCTTCAGCTTTTTTTACTTGAACATGGGTTTGCTCGCTATTATATCTTCCTAAATAATGGAAGATGAATTTTGCTAGTTGTACAATCAGGATTAAAAAATCATGAATAACAACCTCCTCACAGGAGGGAGCCCACGATTTTTTTATTTATCGTGGACTCCCCTCTCATGTGTGTGGTTATCAACTCTGATTGTACATGTAGTATCGTCCAAGATACCTATTGAAGAGTGGATATCAGCTACTGTTGGAGGGGAGGTTTGTACGAGCTCTAAAATGATAAGAAAGTGGACTTTTATCTGGAAAATCCCGATACTTCAAAAAGTATAAAATTTTATCCGGAGAATCTATCATAATACTTTGCCTAGTAATTTGTAAACCTTAAACCAAAAGAATATAGGGAAATTTTCAAAAATGTCACAAAATTAACAAGGTCTCCAAAAGTTGTCATTTTCACTTTATGTGAGCAAAAATATCACTTTTTTGTGTGAAATGTCCAAATTATCCTTAATGACACATTTTCATTAGCATTTAATGCTTGATTTGAAGGAATTGATTATGTTGATGTGATGATTTATTTTATATATAAAAAATATGGATAAATATGTATTATATTGATTAATATGAATTTGTGTTAATAAAAAAGGGGTAAAAGAAATTAAAAATGAAACATAAACAAATATATTTTCTTCTTCCCTTACAAATCCTAATTTTTCTCATCTTCTTCATTTTTATTGATCAAGAAATTATTTCTCTTGTATTCATAATCCATTCTGAGAGGCTAGCTATTAGAAAATATTTATATTTTACTTCTACAGTTTACTGTTTTGTAAATATTAAATACAACTTGAACATATTTACTTAAAATTTTTGAAACTATTATTCATTGATTTCTTTATTTTTGAATCCTTCACTAATGTGATTATCACTATTAAGGTTTTGAGTACTTTCTTCCATTCAAACCAAATAATGTTTTCATTAAATGTCTCTTCAATGACAAGGCAAATCTGACATTTTTCATCTAGCTCAATACTAATGATCACACTTAATGTGTTGTGCTGAAGAATCTGTTATGCCGACTGTCATCTGCTTCTCGACATTTTTGACGGTTCAACTGTCGAATTTGACATTTACAAACCGTTGGGTTAGACGTTTGAAATGTGGAACCCGACATTTAAAAACTGTCGGGATATATAGTTTTACTCTCAAATTGAACACTTAAAAACGATGGAAAACTTTGATTTGACCTTTTACTACGGTACAGATTTACGTATTATACAGTGTCACTTTCATGCTATTAAATGCCAACACATTATTCTGTAGAATTCTTATCGTTGCAATCCCAACATTTGAGGTATGAATAATCATTTAAGTTTCATCGTGTCGCATGGGGAAAAATTTGTTCATGCGGATGACGAATAGAAGTGAAGAGGGGACAAAACTACTTACATTCTGGTTCCGACAAGTAATATCGTAATCGGACTTTTGTTAATGTTGAAGGACAAACTTGATATTATTGATCCCCGCACTCAAATTGAATTGAAGTTCAAGGTCTTTAACTTGAATATAGCTCCGACCGAAATACGCGATAATGAAGACTTATTTTCATCACATCTCAAATTGAATTTGAAAGACAATTAGTGTGATGCTTTTAAAGTCTAAGTGTGCTTGTATCACCCACACTTGGTCTATCATTTGTGAAAATTGTGTACATTAGATCATATGTACTATTTCATCTTGATTGAAACATGGTACGCACAATATTTTAATGCAAAACAAAGAAGTGCTCATTATGTTTTGCAAGAAAATGATGTCCAGTGATATTACCATAATCCACGAACGTTTTCGATTGAAACAAATCATAATATTCATTTCAATCATGCTTATTTTTAATTGGATACCAGTTTTAATCGATAAATCAAACGAGTTTCGAAAGCTAGAAAGTTATATAACGCACAAAAAACAATTTTTATGTACACAACCTTGCTCAAGTATCGAACATGATGTGACCATTATTTTGTACTGTGGAGTAGCTCCATGACCCTATTTAAAAAACAATCTACTACTCTTTACTATCTACTATTCCTTACTATAAACATTTTCTGTACGAAACACAAACAGTTTCCTCTGTCAATATCACATAAATAGAACCAACTAATGCAAAATTATATACATAAATAGAAAACAAAATGTTCTTCCGTGCAGTTGCCACTGTCATCAGAAGTAGACCGTTGTGAAGGTTGCTCTTTCTTTGACAACGAAATCGATTGGTTTCACCTCCAATTATAGCAAGAATGTATGTACCAACACTTTGAGGATCATTCAAGTCATGAGTATGAGTCTGCTCATATGTCATCATACATTGGTAAAATTAGTATTTCGAGATAAAATACGTAGAAAACAATGTGAAAAAATGCAATAACGTTCACCTTAGGTGCAAAAACAATCTGATCACAATACATAATATAACTCAATTGATTCATGCAATCTATCGTAATCTAAATTCAAACAAGCAATTTCCACAAAAATATATTTGAATTGCATGTGATCCAAAAATTATGAAGAACGAATCGTGACGGTATCGTTATACAAATAAAAACGTGAAGTACAAAAATATAACCTCATATGGACAAATCAGTCACATGTGAGACGTTCGGATCGAAAAAATTTAAGCACATATGAACAAATCAATCAAAAAATCATAAGATCTTGACATTTTATATATGTTCATGCAAAACACTCATGCAATGTTAGAATGAACCAAAGTTTGATTTGTGGAACTGAGCAGAGGGAAGGATTGAATTGTCGTTCTTGACAGTTCATCTGTCAACTATTTCATTTGTCGAGAATTACTGAGACTAACTGTCGGGAACGACAGTTAAGGGCGATGACATTTTTCTACATTAGTGAACTGTCGACAGATGAACTATCGAGAAATCTACTTTTCACCTCTAATCAAATAGGTATTATTGAAAATTATTTCACTCCATATTCGAGCATAACAAAACATTAAAACCAAAGGTATGCTGTCAACTATCTAGCAAGAGTTCAGCCCAAATACGAGTAGCGCCCACAACAAATGGATTCCAAGTGATAGCAATGTTATTTTCACATCACACAAGTACCAAAAACATTGAAACGAAAGATATGTCAAGTGTCAATCCAAATTTTCACCCAACATTGAAACATCCAAAATACTTGAAATCCGAACTTTGAAAGCAAAGAAAGATGATAAATATTAAACTGGAACCCTAGATAATTTTTTTCCTCAACATTAGTGTTGGCACATGTAACGTGTGCATATATCACTAATAGAAAATGTATACAAAAGAGAAAATGAAAATTTATGGTATGAAATTGCAGAAAGTAGGGGAAAAACATTTCCAACCATAACATAGCTAAAAATTATTCAAAACATCCAAAAAAATTACAGGATATTAAAAGGATTTTTACCTCTTTCTAATCCAAGCTCTAGCTTTTATTTTAAACCCAATAACAAGCTCCATTTTTTTGCATCTCATAAACCCTTTACAGATGAAAATATTACAAAAATTGAGTAAAGAAAAAAGATTTTTCTCTCTTGGATTGAAACCCGTAATGAGAGAAATGAGAGAGAGTGAGAGAGTTGGGGTTGTTTGAATGAGAGAAATAAGATTCATCTCTCTTTTTTTTCCAACTTTTCATCTTTGACATTGACAAGATTTTTGTACAATTTCTTCCATTGGGTCAAATCTCATTTAATTAGGATATGTAGGGAATTTGAAATTATCTTCAAGGGTAAATATGTCTTAAATTGACATTCTTACAATGTAATAAAAAAAAGTGACATTTTTTAAATATCTTGGAAAAAATTGACATCATTTGTAATTTCCTCAAGAATATAAAACATTTTGAAAAGTCCACTAAATTAATTATGGTAGTTAATAGTTTTAAGAATTGCCAAAAGATTATAAAATACAACATTTCATTGAGTTTCCACTTAAAATCTGAGAACTTGAAAATAAACAGACAAAGATCACATATTGTGTTAAGAAGTGGTTCACAATCTAGATTTCAAGTCACTGATGTAAATTCTGAAGTCAAAGAAGAAAGAATATAGTTTCCACAAAATATGCCACAATTTATTAAATGAGAGGTTGCATGAATGAAGGGTGTAGTGTATGGTTTGCTGAATTTTGTGTGACCCAGTTAATCAAAATGGACTGAGAAGTATGGCCCAAGCTTGGAGGCCCAATTTGGTGATCTAGTAAGGAAAATCTCTAGAATATTGAAATCGGCTCTTGAACTGAAAGAACTGAAACACGTTTTTTTTGTTATCAAATGACACTTCTTCCGAATTTATGACGCGTGGCAAGTGATGGACCATTAGATGACAAAAAATTTGTCACTCTCATATAAAAGGAACATGAGAAGGCTTTAAGGTTTCAGACAATTTTTGAGCAACTTCTATATTCTTTGAGTTTTTTCATCTTCTTTGTTTTTAGATTATTCTCTCTTAGATCTTGTGTGATTTGTTGAGACAAATAGAAATTAGATGAACTCTTGT